CAAACTTCAGGATGGATAAAAAAAATTTAAGACTAGTATTTTAACATTTATAAATAAGAAAAGAAACAAACTAAGTTTACTCATTCATTTCAAAAAAGGAAAGTATAACCAGTTTTGTTCAGCAAAGCATTCTGAATATACACAGAATGAGAAACATTTTTAAATATATCAACTGTATTTTAATAAAAGTTATTAAAATTAACATGTCTGAGCCTCTTGCTGGCAATACCCTCTTGCTGATAAGTGACAAGCATAGTGCAAAATATTCTTCTGGGACAGGATCCATGTGTGATCAAATACAGAGGAGTGGAAGCCCACAGGGAAAAGGAAACATGGAGTTCTCTTCACCTGATGCTCACACACCATGGAAATTATGTCCCATAGAAAGTGAGAATGGAGCTGGCACTTCATCAGGTATAAACAAAGCTTCAGCCACCTGTACGACTGGGGGAGAGCAGGAAGGACAATACTGCGAGATGAAGTGGGAGGTGTAGATGGTTTGTAGGAAGGGAAGACCAGGAGGGGGGAAGACCATGGGATGGGGGTGTTGAGTTGGGAGGGGAAGACCAGGAGATAGAATAGGGGGTTAGTAAGTTGAGATGCAGAGACCATGAGTGGGAGCGGAGAGTGGGCAGGAGAGAAAGGAGGATGAAATGTAAAAGTAGGAGCCAACCTAAGCAGGGGATGGTGTGATGAGGGGAAGAAAAGGTGCTGATGACAGTGAATGAATCAGTACTCCTGAGGAGAGCAGGTGCAGGAGCGGGAATGGTGTAAAGCAGCAGTTCACCTGGGTGCTTTGAATGGGAAATTTGCTGGGAAGCTAGGAAGGCATTCACAATGGAAGTAATTGTAATTTTAACACTCCATATGCTGTGCAGATCCACCAAGTCTCCAGAAAAGAATATTGACTGGAACTGCTTAATACCACTATCCTCCTTTTCACATAGCTCTATCCATTTACCTCAAACACTTTTGAAAATGCTGTCTTTTGTGACTAATAATCCACATTTTCAAAAGTGCACAAGTCACACTAACTTTCAATGGGACTTAAGTACTTTCAAAAAATTGACCTAAAGAGCAGCGTATATAATTCTCAGATCCTAGTGACATAGAATTTGAGGAAATACAGCACAAATAGTCTCCATTTCCACCCACTCTTCTACATTAAAGGCTTGATCCAGTTCCCACTGAAGTCAATGAAAAGACTGATTAACTTCAGTAGTAGTGGATCAGGCCCCAAGCAAGTATCCAATAATATTGAGACTATAATTAGTAACATGACAGTAGCACTACAGGAGACCAATATTAGGGAATGTTAATTCTCTGTAAGAGAAAGAGAGGTGTTCTCTAATTGTTAAAGCAAAGAACTAGGAACAAAGAACTTCTGAGTTCTAACTATGGCTCTAAAACTACGTCCCTCTGCAGCCCTGGTTATTCCACTCTACCTCAGTTTCCCCATCGGTAAAACAACAGTAGTGTTATGAGTACTAATTCATTAATGTTTGTAAAGCAAGTTTATAATGACTGTTTGACTGTTTAAAGAAGACCAAATTATGTTTTTGACCGACAATTCCTAATGAAGTTGATAGAAGCTAACAGAATAGATCAGAAAGCATAACAGGGCTCACAAAATGTCTAAATAGTAAAATTCTTTTGCAGCTTCTTCACACAAAACGTACTTGAGCCAGTATTTTACACTTCTCTCTAACAAGCAATGGAGGTATAGGAAAGAGAAAATGTTACACTGCAGATGGTCAAGTGCAGTCATGTGTCCTTAGGCTTTGGGAGCTGGTGCATATAAAGTACTTTTTTCCTCAGAGCTGAACGTAAACTACGTTATTTCTACAACTGATCCATGCTCAACTTGACAGCTCTTTACCCAGAGTTTGGCACCCACTGAGGAACAGAACTAGCAATGTTCTAAGAAGTGCAGGTCAGAAAAGCAGGAAATTGTCCCATCAAAATTTATGTTAGAAAGGCAAACTTATCTTCCCATCTATCCTTCTAGCAGTAATTTCCACTATTACCACTCTGTAAACATGCAATACCACCCATGGACCAGATTTTGGCCAGCCCTTGCTTGCGTGCTCACACAGCACAGGCTGGACAAATTCTTGATGGAAATTTCAGAGCATTCATCATTCAGAGGTTCTTGGGAAAGGAAGCTACTTAAGCCTTCTCTCCAACCGAACAACTGTTCGGAGGTTGGCCAGAATCTGGTATCCATCTGGCACAGTACATCTACTCGGAAGGGTTGCACCAGTGTAGCAACCAACACGAAAATCCCTAATGTAGACAAACCCTGATTCACCTAGAATTGCACATATATTTTATCCTAGTGCTAGGGTAAATCTCAAACCACTTCACAAACACTAATTTATTTAAACTTTGAACTTTCCTGTGAGGTAGGTTAGTGTATATATTTATTTTAGAGCTAGGTAACCGAGCCAGAGATGTTATATGACTCACTTAAGGTTAAACAGCAAGTCACTGGTAAAGCTAGGAGTCTTGTCCCCTAGCATTCTGCTATCACCACTAGACTACATTTCCTATTCCATTACTAGAACATAATATAACCTGCCCACTTCCGCTGAGTATAATAATAATTATATATCATTTGCAAGACTTCATCTTGGTAAGTTGAAGACAAATATAATTCTATCGGAGTAAAGTTAAAACCAAGCATATGTGGTTAGATGACATTAAAAAAGTGCTCTAAGACTTGCTGAGTTCTGAGAACTGAAACCACAGAGAGCCAAAATGTGGCTCCACACAGTCAGATATGATGGGGCTGCTAATATTGAGCACTTTACTGTATGTAGGAACCTTGGCTTTAAAAAAAAAAAAAAAAAAAACCAAGACGACAGAAAAAAATAATTTTGTTTAAACTATAACCACAAAAAAATAGTATCAGAGGGGTAGCCGTGTTAGTCTGAATCTGTAAAAAGCAACAGAGGGTCCTGTGGCACCTTTAAGACTTGCATCTGAAGAAGTGAGGTTCTTACCCACGAAAGCTTATGCTCCCAATACTTCTGTTAGTCTTAAAGGTGCCACAGGACCCTCTGTTGCTTTTCACAAAAAAATAACAACCTAAGGCGTTAAGGTGTGAAAGTGAAAGATAGTAAATTATTTTATGAAAGTGGTGACGTATATCATATAGATACACACTAGTCCATCTTTACACATCACAGGAATATATAATTGTCATGTTTATCATCATAGTTAAGTATATTTATTGCTAAGTATTTATAGTTCTCACTAGAGTGAAAACAGCTTAATTATTTTAATGACTTTAAAAACAATGAGGAGTCCGGTGGCACCTTAAAGACTGACAGATTTATCTGGGCATAAGCTTTCGTGGGTAAAAAACCCACTTCTTCAGATGCATGGAGTGAAAATTGCAGATACAGTACAAGCATAAATATATATTGGCACATGAAGAGAAGGGAGTTACCTTACAAGTGGAAAACCAGTGTTGAAGGCCAATTCAGTCAGGGTGGCTGTGGTCCACTCCCAATAATTGAGGACTGTTATTATTAATCATGTTTATTAAGGTAGTGCCTAAGGGCTAACAAGAACTGGGCCCCATTGTGCTAGGCTCTGCACAAACACAGAGCAGAAGATAGCATGAAAGCTCTTCAAGGCAGGGACTAAATAAATTTTCTGTCTTTGGAAAATCTCTCTCACTGTTAGAATAAGTGCTTGAATTTTGGCTCTGGTTTTTAAAATATTTTAGAGTAAAGAGCATAAGCACCAAACCACAAGTACAGTGAGTACATTTACCCCTAAATGTTTCTCTCTCTTAATTACCATGACATGGTTTATTTCCAATTTCTTGTCAACCACAATTTAAAGATTTGTCAGTATAAAGATTCAATGAGCTGAGAAGAAAGTATGAAGGAATTCTTCTCCTGCTATGCTGTTGTGATTAGAAAACTGTCATACTGACAGAAGCAATGGTACTACTTTTGTATCATTCTCAGTTCTGCTACTTCACTAGACCAAATGATCAACTACAGCAGTGGATCACAACCTTTCCGAGTTTCAAAGACACCCCCCGCCCCCATCTATCCATTAAAAAAGGCGGGTGGGGGGTCATGATCTTCTGAAACCTTTTCCCAACCTCCAAGGTTGAGAACCCATGAACTCCAGGAAAGAAGCAACCAGGCTCTTAAAAGTCTCAGTTGGTAATTTGTATATTGCAAACTCTTTGGGGCAAAGACTTTCGTCTTCCTCTGCATTTCAGAAGGGCCGAGGACCTGTCGGGCACTACCACACTATAAAGAAATAATGACAAATGCGCCTTTCACAATAATCCAAAGGCATTACCACGAACCCAGGGGGAGATCGGGGAAGTCCTACCCCATTCCCGTCAAACCTCGCTCACAGGGACATGAAAAAGCCCAGAAAGAGGGGCTGCCAATGTGGCCCCATTGACCCCGTTGCCTGAGCAGGGAGCTGACCTGACTAGTCCCTGTTGCACGGCGAGTGCCAAAGCGCAGGTACGTTCCTGACTCGGAACAACCTTTGAGTCTTGAAACAAACCGAGGCGAGGCAGGAGCGGGAGGCCCCTTCGCTGCTCCTTTGCTCTCGGGCGCAGCGTCCCATCCCTGCTGGAGGATTTGGGGGGTCCCTGACTTTTCACGCGGCCGCGCTACCCGCGGGAGGCGCCGTCGCTCTGCCTCGCAGTACCGAGGCAGCCAGCCAGGACCAACGTGTGTGTCCATCCCGCTCCTTGCTTTCCCCCTTTCCTTTCGCTGCCTGCGAAGTGAAAGGAAAACACTGCCCGCAGCAGCAGCCTCCCCCCCGCGCCCCTCTTCGGCTGGCAGGCAGGCGATGGGGCGGGGGACTAGACACACATTCGCCCTGGCAAATGAAAACAAACTAAGGCAACAGCTGCATCGAAGCGCTGCAAAGCGGCAGCACCCGGGGGCTGCTGAGCCGGGGGCGGGAGGTTCCTGCCGAGCAACCGAAAGACGGGGATGGTGGGAGAAACTTACCGGAGGAAACCGAGGAGCCGGACAAACTGGAGTTACTGGACGCTGCCATCCTCCCTCCTTAGCTCCTAGCCCCGCTGCGACTCCGGCTTCTGCTCCTGCTGCTGGCCGGCTGCCGCCGCTGCCCCCAGCCCATTGCCAAGTGCGGGAGCCGCACGGTGCGAAGCAGCAGCAGCCGCCGCCGCCGGGGCTGCGCTTCCTGTTCAGCCAGCGAGCGAGCTGCGGCTGGTGGCTTGGCTGCGCGCCGCTCAGGCGTCGCAGGGCTCTGCTGCTGCGTGTAGCTGGCGGACGCCGCTCGGCAGCAGGGCAGGGAAAAGGCCCCGCGGCGCTTCCAGTTGCCTCCTCTCCGCCTGGGGCGCGGGGGGTTCCCTTGTGGCCGTGCCCAGAGCCGCCTCCGCAAGCTCCGTCCTCCCGCCCCGCGCCTCCGCCTCCTGCCGGGCAGCGCTGACAGCCGGGCTCAGCCCCCCTCGCGCACACAAAGGAAGGAGCGCGGAGCCGGGCTGACAGCCCCTGGCTGAGGCAGGGTGGGTCTGAGGCGCGCCGCCCGAGGCGGGAAGGAAGGAAGCCCGGGGAAGCAGCCAGCGCCCGCTGCCGATACTCCTGCCGCTGCCTGGCACTGGGCGGCTCCTTCCTCCAGGTGCCAAACGCGGGCCACCTTCCGCCTGCCGGGGGGAGCCGGGACGCGCGTCCCCAGCCCTGCCCCGTGCAGGAGCGGGCAGGGTGGTGCCTGTTGAGTACTCACTGCTCCAGCCGGGAACATGGGAAGACCCCCAGGGGCGGCGGCGATTAAGGATCGTCTTTGTTCCCGGGTGGCTCATGTAGCAGTTGCATCTGCTAAGCTCCTGCAGTGCACGTTGGCTTGGAGTCTCCCCTTCCCCCGCCTGCCCATCCTGAGCTGCCATCACCTTGTCTGTCCGCTCCCCTTTTTTAACTAGGGCTAGGCAATGCAATGCAGACACCCTGAATAACTTCAGTGAGATTCCAAATGGGGAGCAAATTTTTTCCTTTTTCTGTTTCTTGTCCTCTCTCTCCTCCTGTCTAGCGTTTGTCTTACCTTTCTTCAAGGTGCCTGACTTTCTTTTTCTCTTACAAAACTCTTCCTTCTCTGCCCCCTCTTTGTCTTTCATTGTTTTGTGTTCTCTGATACCTTTCCTTTCCATCTGTACAGAACACAATACAGTGGGTACCATTAAAATCTTAAGATTGATTGCCTATGGCAGCTACATTTACTATAATGTCACCCATCCTAAGCATAGAAAATGCCCCAGATATCATGGGATAGAACAGTGGTTCTCAACCATTTCCCCCAAACCTTTTTTCCAGACCTCTCACATGTATTGGATTTTGCAGCATATTCCATATTCTGCTGGATCATGCTTCCTATTTTGCTGCACTAGGGAAGCAGGCAGTATTCTACTGCTGGAGAGAAAGAGACTTATTAGCCAAATACCCTGTAGCCTAAAGGAAAATCCATTGAGCTAGAAGGAAATCATGAGTTTAGATCTCATCTATTCTAGCTACTCTTTAAATTTCCATGCATTTCACAGTCCTTATTACTTACCAAGTCCTTGTAGTCATAGAATGGGTATGAGAAGGCCTCCTCCATTTTATAAACAGAGCCGTTGTCTTTTCAGGCAGAGTTAGAACTCGAGTTCAAATCTCTTACATAACATAGGTCTTATCCTCCCAGCCATACTGGCTTTCAGAATAAATGAGCCCAATATATATGCTTTCAAAATTCTCTCATCATTACATCACACCCCCCTCCCAGAGTCAGGGATAGGAACCAGAACTCCAATATCCTACAACTTTCTACTGAATAGTTGTGTGACTTCTGGCAAAATGTTTGTCAACCTCCAACCACTAGTAGCTAGACCACATAACCAATAATAGCCATTCCTATAGTGGTAGTGGTCGAAGCTAGGGATCTGAAAATTCAGCTTTCAAACTCTGCTGATGATCCATGTCAGGGAACTTTCTGGTTGCACGTGATAGAATTTTTATTTCCAGTTCTCTCTTATTTTTAAATGGTTTATTTAATCCACACAGTGAGAAAACAAACTTTAAAGCAGGTTTTATTATTACAAACCATTATCTGTAAATTATGGTGTTACACATAAAATATAGGTGTTCCACATTTTGGTTATTTGTCAAACATTTTGGCTGCTGGTGTCTCACAATGTAAAATTTAAAGTCCGGGAGTAAAATGAGAAGGAAAGAGGTTCTTGTGCATCCTTGACACCCGTTTTCAACCCCCGGAGGATTATGACCCCAGTTTGAGAACTCATGGTATAGGAGTGGTAAATATCAAGATTATAATAGTGTTCACTGAAGGGGTGTGTAGTGCTTTGCAGTGGTATCTACTCCTCATATGTATTCTGGTGTCCTTCTCCCTTCACGCTTTGTCTTCTGATCCAGTGTCTGCCCCCCCCCCAAAAAAACGGACAGAATCTGCAATACAAGGGAATAGGTGAGACACAGAGAGGTAGTCTTGCAAATTTACCATCCAGAAAGAAAGTAATAAAGTGAATTACACAAGAGTTCCCAACTTGTGGCAATTTGAATAGAGCTGGATGAACACTACAAACATTTTCCTCTGAATATTTGTTCACAATTATAAATTAATTTGCACTCTCTGTGTTCACATACGATTAGTATTTACTTTCTGTGAGTAGTCTAGTGATCAGGTTTACTTACAGGAATGTTAATGAAACTTTAAGCAGATGTTGAAGAATATTAATGGAAAGTGAACTTTTTTTTCTCTAGCTGTGAGTAATCACACCAGAAATCTTATTCTAAGATTCCAGTCAGGGAAGAGAGAGATACATGTGATCTGTGTTCAGTCAAGACAACCATTTTTGCCATTGCTTTGCTGACCAGAAGGCCTTTTCCAGACATTTGGTTACCACTTTGATGACATTTGTTGTGCTTATGCACGTAGCAGGGGATACCACAAGCAGGTTATCATCTCCTCCCTCACGCTACCACTCCACACCATGACCTAGAACACCCCCTCACCACCAACTAAAAATCAAGAAAACCTTTCTGGTGTCATCACACAGCCCTCCTTGTGGAAGATTAGGATGTTCACAGAAGATGATCTGAAGCCTGGGCGGCTGCTGACATACCAAACAAAAATCTAATTGATGACCCAAATGTGCAAGTGCCAGACTTCTCCTCCCCATGATGCATATGGACTAATCCGTATCCGCACCCAACAGTAAACTCACACTTACTCCATAGATTGAAAGTGAGGGAATCGCCGAACTGTGACTGTGGCGTGCGGCAAACGGTTGGACACATCCCGGATGATTGCCCAATTTATGCTCATCCTGGAGGTGTTGCAGCCATTCACCTGGGTACCCCCTCTGCTCTAGACTGGATAAGAGACCTTAAGATCCAACTGTTGTCATGTTGCTCCTTTCACTGTTCTACTTTTGCCATACCAAAAAAAAAAAAAAGTCAAGACAACTTGGATTTTGAATCTTCATGATGAATTGCGCATCGATGAGCTATAGACCAGGCGTAATTAGGCAAATAATGAAAATAATGAATTAATTCAAGAAATTCATAATTTGTTCAGACACTTTGCAAAGAACACAATTTAAAATTGACAATGAATAAATTATTTGTCCAGGTTTAACTGTAAGTGAGGAAAGAGTTACATTTTTTAAGAGTGGGATTGTAAAGGTCTCATTGAGAGATACACAGCAAAGTCATTTCTTATAAGAGTGAAATACTCCAATAACTGTCTTCAAAATAACTCATATGAGGGAGTCTCTCTCCAAAATCAATGAGACTTGACAGGTCTGGTTATGAAATAGTGTGATTTAGAAGGTTAAGAAATTGTTGAAATTTGTGATACAGCAGATGTGAGGCTATGTCATATCCATTCCAACAATGTTCAAAATTAAATTAATACAGTTCAAGGAAATGTCCAGTAGATTAAAAGAGCTATTTCACACTCCAAGACATGATAACCTCTTTATTCAATGGAAAAGCGTATGTAAGACTGTGACGTTTAGAAAGTATTAGATCAAAGGAGACACAAACTTAAAAAAAACCAGAAGAGCAAACTGCACTCCATGTTCTACAGTACAGTTCCAAACGTTATTTTAAAGAGCTTGTAAGCAGATTCCATCCTGCTCCACAGTATGCATACACTGCATATAGTCCAAACTTAACCATTCCTGAGTTTTGTTTTTATCAGGTACTCAGATAACTGCAATAAAACGTAAACCTCAATCTAACCTTTCTTCTTGAGATTGACTATGCCTAAATTTTCCATGTATCTAAACTTCCTGTATCCTAGTACTCTCTGCTCTTGATAAAAGTTCCCACTCCTATCCTGATTGGTGCTAAATGAAGCCACCTGCCAGTATGAGGGTACTAATTTACTCTGCATCCTTATAATGAGTTTCAGCTTCTCAATTTAGGGTTACTCAGCAGTAAAGCCTGTTACAGAGACACTATCATCAACATTAATAGTGACCTGCAATAGAAAAAGATCAACCTTTTTTGCTTATGTATTATGCATGAAGATGATCTGAAAGCTTATTTTCCACACAGGTGGGATTTCTTGAAGCATTCAATGTTGGCCATACTCTGCTTTCATTGAAGTAAATGATTAAATTCCAAGAATTTCTGTACCTTTATTTAATTGAGAGAGACAAGATGGGTGAGTTAATATCTTTTATTGACCAATTTATGTTGGTGAAAGACAAGCTTTTGAGCTCCACACCAAGCAACCGTAACTTATTGTTAACAAAGATTTTTATTGTTAATTGATTTTCTCTTTGCAAACAAAAGGGAAAAATAAAAGAGAGTCCCAAAGGTTTTTACTAAAATCTGTGTAGTACAAAGTCTGCCAGGACTTATCAGAGATTATTTAAATAATACTACCCACAGGTGCAGGGGTTCAACCACATGAATTCAACTGCAGAATTATAAATAGATATTGTTTGGAAATTCTCAAAACGTTTTTTTCTGAAAAATACCTATTTGTCAAAACTGAAACTGTTAATAGGAAAGGGTCATTTCAGTAAGTTTTCCTACTCAAAAAACTTATAAATTGTCAATGAATAGTTTCATTTTTTGGTTCAAAATTAATTAGTTTAGGACTATAACTTTATTAATACCAATAAAAGAAAAAAGGCCAAAATCAAAATGCACTGTTTCAAAATTATCAAAACATTTCAATTGACCCATTTGTGGTTTGGTTTTGGTTTGTCAATTCACTAGAGTTTTTTGAGATCAACTTTTTGTCCTGATTTTGTCCTTGTGGGTTGGGAAAACCATTTTCTGCCCAGTCCTAATTATAAACTCTTTGGGATAGGGGCTCTCTTTCATTTTAAGGTACCAATCCTGCAGACCTCCATGACTTAGCCCCTATGTGTAGTCCCACTGACTTTAGTGGAACT